AAAAAAAAAAAAAAAAAAAAAAAAAAAAAAAAACACATTCAAAAGATTATACATTTCAAAGACATCAAATAAACCATTCAGGGGCTGCATTATACGAGATTACTCTCACCTAAAGAAAGTAATTAACTCCATATGAATGAATGTAAAGGCTGGGGAAAATTTTACAAACTGGCTATCTTACCAGAACTCTGAGATGCTGAAGGAGGACAGATTAACAGTAGCCTTAAATTTAATCATGTGTGTAAGTTCATTGCTGAACTGAAGCCATAAACAGGAATCATAAGCTATTTGTATTTTGATGGCTATAGTGTATGAGATGAAAAATCATTTGTCCATCACCTTTATATTTGGTTACATAGCATTGTATCTGTTGGCAATATGCTTTGTTATATACAGTTTATAGATTCATGCTTTCATATTTTGATGCCCTTTTAAAGGATTTCCTTAAGATTATTCATTTTACAGTATAGTAACACTGTGGCAGGGCACACTTGGTGCCTGCTTGTGGCAACACTCACAGTGCCTGCCACTTTAAGGGCTGGAGCAGGTAGCTGGCAGGTATGGGTCAGCTCTGATGAGGCAGTCATTTTAGGTCCAAGTACGCAGGTCTCTGGCAGCAGTTTGCTGCCTGCCACTGAAGGAACAACAACACCTGGCTGAGCTGCTACTCATGTAACACCCTGGAGGTAAGGGCAGGAGCTACAAGGGATGGCAGGAGGCTCCTGGCCGTGGGTATGACTTGAAACTGCACCCTGCTGGGAAGGATGACCTTCTCATGGCAGGGGAGCTCCCCAGAAATGCCAGGCCAGTTGCCTCCACAGTGAAAGGCAGGTAGGGACACATTAAAACTTCAGCCATCACACCCTGGTGTGTTACCCAGGGTCAGGGCCAGGCACATCTCTGGACACCTGAGCCCATGGGGTGCAAGACCCCAGTAATGGAGTCAGGGCCAGGCACATTTTTGCAACACCTGAGCCCATGGGCTAGCAGACCCCAGAGGAAAGTGAGGGCCAGGCACATCTTCAGGATACCTGAGCCCCACGGGGTGCAAGACCCTGGTTGAGAAGTGAAGGCTAAGCACATCTCTGGACACCTGAGCCCAAAGGGGGTAAAGACCCCAGTTGCCCCAGTGGGGGGGGGGGCATGTATAGAGTGGTCTGCGTAGAGTAGGGTACACAAGGATTACACGAAACGTGCCCAGCACTTTGGGTTGAGTAGGGCCTGACTATGAGGGCCTGAAGGGCTCTACTGAGGTGTGCTGAGTAGGGGATGTGAGAGTGACCTGAAGGGCAGCACATGGGCCAACCCCCATTAGAAAAAGATTAGAGTAAAGCCCAGGTAAGTCTATGGATGCCTGAGGTTGATGTTGGGCTGGAGGCCATGTTTATGATATTGATAAGCTTGTCAGTGAGAGCACAATGACTTTCTGCTCCAGTGGGGAGTAAGAGTCCCAGTGAGACTCTGGAGCACCAGTCGTGGTGTCATGCACTACAATAATTTGGATGCCATCTGCAAGGCATGGGACACAATAAGAGAAGGTCAGAGTCGTGTAAAAATCCCTGGGCATTTGGGGTAGTAAAATGGGCAGCCTCCCACATTTTCCACCAATTAATTATGACAGCAAGTTGTGGCAGAAAGGCTTGGGCAGACTGCCCAGAAACAGGTGTGTAGGCCAAGGCTGAGACCTGGCCCTGACAAGACACCCTGTTATAAACACCTTTAGAAAAAGCAGAAACCTATTCTAGGTTATTTTTAGTGCCTATTTAACTCTTAAGAGTTAAAAATTCCCAGGAAGAATCTAGATTGTCAGTGTTCTAATGCCAGCCTCCGTAAGAGTGATATTTGTGAGTAACTTGCCCAGGGTGCAAGCACGGGGGTTTTTTTGCATATGTACCATGGATCAGGAATAGAAAATGAGTTTCAAATAAATATAACAAATGTAGACAGAACATACAAAAAGTAGTATAAATGATATAAAGAAAAAAACCAAAGCTAAAATATGCATTCTTCTCTTCAGTGGTTAGGTGGCTGGGGCACATGACTTATAAGGAAAGGCTGAAGGAACTGGGCTTATATAGTCTGTAGAAGAGAAGACAGAGAGTATTTGATAGCAGCTTTCAACTACCTGAAGGGTGCTTCCAAAGAGGATGAAGCTAGACTGCTTTCAGTGGTAGAAGATGACAGATCAAGGAACAATGGTTTAAAGTTGCAGCAAGGGAAGTTTAGATTAGACATTAGGAAAAAGTTTTCTCATGAGGAGAGTAGTAAAGCACAGGAACAGGTTACAGAGAGAGGTTGTCGACTCTCCATCCTTGGAGGTTTTTAAGACCTGGCTAGACAAAGCCTTGGCTGGGATGACCTAGCTGGCCCTGCTTTCAGCAGGGTGGTTAACTAGATGACCTGCTTTGAGCACAGCGTTTGACCAAATGACCTCCTGAGGTCCCTTCCAACTATGATTTTTGATGATTCTACGATTCTCCTAATACAGGGAAAGATACTAGAAATGAAAAGATGGACACACAGGACTGGGTGGGGCCTCACAGGAACAAAGGACTAGAAGCAGAAAGAAGCATTATGAGTTATAGTTAAAATGGGAAACTTTTACTTTTATATTGTACTCTGATAAGGCAAGGGGCTAAGCACCTTGACTCAAGGCCAGTGAAAAACTTAGGTATGTTTTTATATGAAGCAGTAGTCCTTTTAAAGTCACAGGGTGCAGTTATATGTGTGCTTTACTGCCAAGCTGACTAATTAGCTCTGGAGTATAAAGTGTCACCATCTACACATGCACTGGTATTAGGGCACAGTAAACTAATTAACTCCACCATAAGATAGTATGGTCCTCAATAATATTATCTTATGGCAAAGTCATTAAGTGCAATCAAATGCACATGTAGATGGTAACCACCAGCTGTAAATTGCTCCTGGACAGCGCAACCAACTGGGGGCCAGACCTCCAGCTCCTGCCAGCCCCTCTCCTGCCTGATGCTGCCACCTGCAGCCTGGGGCTTACCCCCTGTGCCCAGGGCTGCTCCACCCCAACTCAAAGTGCTGGGGTCCTGGGCGCACATGTAGATGCTGCACCTGTGAGCAGTGTACACAAGCTCAAAGAGCTCCAGAGTTTATCGTGTTGCACTAATTGCACATGTAGATGCACCCACATACTAATATTTAAGTCCCACTAACTTCAGTGCCGAGCTTCACATACTTTGACTTCACTGTGTGCTTAAGTACTTTCTTGAAGTGAGGAAAAACAGTAATCTACCTGATAGATGTATGCTAGTTTCATCAAAGGAGTCACTTCTGTTGTGCTGGGACAAAGAGGAGCCTGAAAATATACTAATTCCTTCAAGTTCTTCAAATGCCTCCTGCATACCACTGGTAAGTTCGGTTACCTGAGATCTGACATAACATGAAGTATCTGAAAATGCTAAAATATACAGAAAAAAATGAAGTAAGTTAAATGAGATTTCAATAGCAGCCTGTTTCATTTACTTTAAACTGCAATTCATTTGTGTTCATTAGGATTTAGGGAGCAAACGTTTAAAAATCAAAGTCTTGTGTCTAGAAGTGTCTGACAGTGTCAAAATTCATCCCACAGACTTCCTGCACACACAACTGCTGTTCAGGACAACAGAACCTGCCTAACAATTCCTTCCTCCTATGGAAAGGAATACTGGTCCATCAAAATTTACTACAGATCCCCCAAGCTCAAGAGGTTCCTCCACTTTTCCTTAGGCCTATAACTTTTTATTTGTACCATGCAGTGCTCTATTACAAATAGAGGCTTCTAATGTTCTCCCAGGAAAGAATAAACCTGCAACAACTCTGGGTCCTTCTGCCTCATGGCTGAACTGACCCCTGGGAGACTGGATGGGCTAAGGGTAGGTCTCTTGCTACAGACCTAACCCAAAGCACACTTAAAAGTCAGTTGAAAGACTCCCAGTGATTGTAATCAACTATGATTCAGGTCCTGCCACCTCTCCTGGTGACTTCTTAGAAGATTATTAGTTGAAGTAATAATAGAGTTTATATAAAGATTCTTCTTTAGCTCAGAGGACAGGTACACTCTTACTAAGCATTCACGAGCTCGGTTAGGTGGAGAGAATGCATCGGGTTTTTTTAATAGCAGGAATACACAGCTCGTAATGAACTGGAATCTGAAAACATACAGTTCACACATACAGTTAATCTCTTTTAGGATTAACAAACAAATTAGCATCATCAGCTTCTATATTCGCAGCATTATGTTATCCAACTCGCATGGTCTCCCACATATTAGTAATGCAATGCCAATCCTTACAGTAGGGGACTATGTTTTTGGAGCTGGAGGTAGAGAGTTCTATCTCCAATGACAACCATGAAGTCTGTATGGCAAGAGTAAGCAGAATAGCTGACAACCATGACCTTTATACAGCCAATGAATTGTTACAGGGAACATATTATGAAGCATCAGCAGGCTGTGAAAAGTCTTTTGAGATTTTCTTACTAGGTCTGCATCAAAAGGGCAACTTTTAATTTTATGGAAGATATCCTTGTGGAATTTTCAGAAAATGATAATGAAATAACAACCAGCTCTTTGAGGTTCATAACAGGAATTGTGCCATACTTATATTGGGCTCCTGGGGGGAAAAAAGCATTGGTTCCCCTTCAAGGCAGTCAGTTATGGAATGGCCTCAAATAACAAAAGGAAAACCTTAAAAGACAATATGATGCTCATTAGCCCAAGAAATTCTCATCCTGTGACTCCATCATAATAGATTGGACATCCGCAAAAACTACTTCACGCTTAGGGCGGCTAGGAGCTGGAACCAACTTCCAAGGGAAGTGGTGCTGGCCCCTACCCTGGGGGTCTTTAAGAAGAGGCTGGATGCCTACCTGGCTGGACTCATTTGAGTCCCGTTTCTCTTTTTGGGGTTTTTGTTCTCCCGCCCTGGCGGGGGGTTGGGCTAGAAGATCTACTAGGTCCCTTCCGACCCTTAATCTATGAATCTATGAACTACCTCAGCTATAGAAATAGCCTATAAGTCTTCATATGTAAAATTGTGTGAAGTAACTTCACTCTATTCCTATTTGGTCCATAATAGAAAAAATGTCAAATCTCTTATGATTAAAGCATCTCATGAGACACACTAATTCTAAACGTTGTCAGGAACTCTGTCTCTGGTTTAGACTGCCCAACACAGTCCATCATGAGATCTATTTTTCGGTTGCTAACTTTACTAAGTTTTAACCATCTGGGTTAAAAGTTCCCGTGCTGCAAATATATTTTGCAGAATATAGTAGAAGACATCAGGGGAAATTTAAAAAACACCTCAATCACAAATATACGAGGCAGGCAGACATACAGAAAAGTAACGTGCATCAGTCTTACCACTCTCTCTGTCTCATCAATTTAACAAAGGATTATTATTTATATTGTAGTAATACATAGTAGGTCTCAGCCCTATTGCATCAGGCACCATACAAACTTATAACACAGAAGGCATCCCCTACCTATTACAGAACAATAGTATCTTATTTGAACAAGGAATAACATTTTCACTTTGTATGACTAAGTTTAATAATAATCATGAAGCAATATATGTTTACTAGAAATTTAAAAAAAAAAAAGTTTGAAATTTGGGACGTCCCTTAGCATAAAACCAGTTTGGATCAAATGATGGGACTGCTCTCAATTTTAACCCATGCAAATCTAAAGATTTACAAAGTTAAAACTTTTTCTGCTGTAAGGGTAGAGTGCTGAAACAGTTTTTTCCAGATGGATAAAGTTGATTTAAGCCATAAATAACATCATGAAACAGTTTAATATAGGATCACACTGATTCTTTCTCTACTAATGTTATCATTTTCTGAGTTATAAAACTGTCAGTTATCCGGGTGAAAAGGCTGGGGGAAGGTCTGTGCCACTCCTTCCCGCCTACCCATCTGGGTTCACTACATATATGCAAAGGACCTTTAAAAGAAGTGAGAGAGTGAGAGAAAAAGGAGGATGGAAGGCTTCACCACACCAAATGAAAAGCAAACAATATGCATATCAGCATCCTAAGGAGATGTACCACTCTGCTGGGAAAAACCAAGACAAAAGAATTATCTGACACAACAGTTCAAAGCATATTGCACCTGTCAAAATGTCTGTCATCTTCTATAGAAATGCACCATTCTAAGAAAGAAAAGGGAAACTCTAGCAAAGTCACTCAGAAACAACAGACCACTTTGTCTCCTTCCTTCCAGCCAACTCCTCCATCTGAAAGCCATTTAACTCCATGCTAAAGATTGCCTGGAAGGACCAAACAATAGGAAGGTCTCTTTCATTGTCAAGGACAGTTACACTTTGAAGATGATGCTCAAAAGGGGTTAAAATGGGTCAACAAGCAATTGTTGGTCCTATCCAAGGAAATGTGAACAGAACATTGTTAAAAGACACACACACACACACACACACACACACACACACACACACACACACACACACACACAGAATATCTATAAAAACACACATATATAAAAGCGA